CTACCCCATTCCTAGCAACACCCCTCCCCGGAGCAGTCATCCGTATCTTAATGAAACTACCTTATACGTCATTATCAACCAAAGTCCATATTTACATTGAGATTCCCCGCGTGTGGTTACAGTCTGTGGGGTTGGGTAAAATTTTAATGATATACATCCACTACTGTATCATAGAGTAGTTTTGTTGATCTAAAAATCCTCCCGGTATCCTGCCTATTTGTCCATTCTAGGCCCCAACCCTCAGTAATCACTGATCTTTTTGCTATGTCCTCCAAGTTTTACCTTTTACCAGAATGTCATGTAGTTGGAATTATATATATATATATTTTGTTGTTGTTGTTATTGTTGTTGTTGTTGGTTGTGGGGCTTGAACTCTAGGCCTGGGCACTGTCCCTCAGCTCTTCAGCTCAAGGCAAGCGCTCTACCACTTGAGCCACAGCACCATTTCTGGCTTTTTCTGCTTATGTAGTGCTGAGGAATTGAACCAGGGCCTCATGCATGCAAGGCAAGCACTCTACCACTGAGCCACCTTCCCAGCCCCAGAATTATATCTTATGTTGCCTTTCCAGAGTGGCTTTCAATGAGTAATAATGCTCTCTAGGTTCTTCCTTTTGTTTTTTCTCCCCTGCCCTCCCCCCATGGATTAACAATTCTTTTTTTTTTTTTCAAACAGTGCATGCTATTCCACTGCCTACATGTGCCACAATTTATTCACTTGTTTACCTGAAGAATCACCTAGCTTTTAAGATTTCATTCTGATGTGATGATTACTGAAAGTAGAAGGCCGCAGGGGCTGGTTTTCCTGTTCTGGACGCCATGCCTGTCTCTGCACTCTTACAGCCCTATGACCCCTGGCAGAATGCCCCTTCAGCCACCAGGGAGCCAGCTAGCCCACCAAGATGGAATTCCTCCAGGGCCAATTTGAGGAGAGCTCACAAGCACACATACAGACACAAGAAACTTGGGATGCTCCCTTCTCTATCATTGCCAACATGTTCTCATGTTTATCCTCCAAGTCCCAAGCTAGTCCTGTGTGTGTGTGTGTGTGTGTGTGTGTGTTTACTGGGGCTTGAACTCTGGGCCTAGGAACAATCTCTGAGGTGTTTTGTTTTTGCTCAAGGCTAATGCTTTACCACTTGAGCCACAGAGCTCCATGTCTGGCCTTTTCTGAGTACTTTGTTAGAGATAAGAGTCTTGTGGATTTTCTTGCCCAGGCAACCTTCTATCCTCAATCATCAGATCTCAGCCTCCTGAGTAATTAGGAGTATAAGCATGAGCTCCTGGCACCCAGCTGGCAGTCGCTATTAATATGTCTATATGGTTTCTACCTGGTTACCACATGTGTTTCTCTTTTTAAACTCCTGTTTCATTTAGTAGTCCTTAGCCCTGATAAGAACTGCTTGAAAACTGAATGTTCAAGCCCTAACCTAACCCTCAGCGCAAATGGTATTTGGAAATGGTTTGAAAATGACTAGGTTTAAACAAAGGTGATGGGATTTGTGCCCTTATAAAACTGGGCATTCAGTGTGTCACACTTGTAATCATAGCTATTCTGGAGGCTGAGGCCTGGAAGATAACAGTTTGAGGCCATCCCAGGCAGAAAAGTCCTTGAGACTTTTCTCAGCAGGCTGGGCTGGAGATGTGACTCAAATGGTAGAGTACCAGCAGTGAGCAAACAAACTGAGCAAACTCAAAGCCCTAGTTCAAGTCCCAGTACAACCCCCCCCAAAAAAATAAAGGGAGGGAAGGAAGAAGAAGAGGAGGAGCAAGATGAGAGGGGTCAGGGAGGAGGGGAGGAAGGGGTGGTAAGACAGAAGTGCTCACTCTCTCCCTAAGCCCACACTGAGGAAAGACCATATAAGATGCAGGCAGAAACAGCCATGGGGAGGGGGTAACAATGCTCTACAGAAAATGTGCTCATTACCTTACTCACGTAACTGTAACCCCTCTGTACAGTATCTTTACAATTTAAAAAAATGGAAAAAAAAACAGCCATCTGCCACTCAGGGAGCTGGCCCTCATCAAATGCTGAATCTGCCAAGACCTGGATCTGAGACTTCTCAAGGCTCCAGAACTATGAAAGATAGATGATAGAAATGTTGTTTAAATCACCCAGTCTAGGATATTTTGTTTCAGCAGCCCAACTAAGACAAGCATCTACCACAGCTGAGTGTATATGATATCTAAGGAGAAGACACAGAATCTGTTTATATAAATTCTGTGCGTGTTACATCTTCACAACACCTTACTAAAGGCTTTGTGGTAATGGAGGTAAGAGGTGAGACGACAAAAAGTTATCATCTCAGCAGTCTTGTATTTTTAGTAACTGAAAATAAAAAGCCTGGAAGGCCATCTGAACGAATCCCATCAGATTATAATGATCACATTTATCATTTTAATATAGGATAATTACTAAGTTATTGCTACTGTTACAACAACTGCTTATGCCGCCCTTTCTACGCTTTAGGACAATTGCTTTTACATAAATAGCAAAGCTACTTGTTGCCTAAGAGAACTATTGAGGCTGAAATATAAATACATTAAAGAAAGTCACAAACCAAATTCCTGGAGGGCAGATCTACCACAGTTATTAAATTGGAACCAGGAATAGTCAGAGTGCATTCCTAACCTATGAGAATGATATTATGAAAGATAAGTGCTATAATCCAGCCCACAGCACCATAATGGCTCCATCAAAGGCACAAGCACTAGTGGACAGGTGTCATGCTCACTTTGTGGCCTTTGCTAAGGAGTTACCATGGAACTAAACTCAACCTGGACCTCTGAGTTCCATTATCTGGGCGCTGCAAATGGCATTTTTCTCCCAGCCCATGCCCTATCTCCCACCTGTCAGAGAGTCTGACCCACTATTCCAGATCTCTCTCTCTACAAAGGCAATGTTTTGTTTGTGTCATACAGTGAGTCACCAGCACGGTTGGGAACAGACCCAGGATTCCTGATCTTTTTGCTTGCTGAGGCTTTTTGCTAGAGATCACAATCCTTCCACATTAGTGGCCAGTTACATTTATGGCTCTTAATGACATTTAATTGGGCTTCTGGGATATGGAAATGCTGGGGAGTGAAGACTAGGAGATTAAAAGAAAATCAAAATCTGCGATGACACACAAGATCGTTGTTACTGAAGATTTAAAAATGGCAATGAATCTCATGGTGTCATTCCACTGGGAAATGATCCCTAGATCTCAGGAAGAATGACCTTCTCACCTGTCTGGAAACTGGATAAAAGAAAGAAGGAAAGGGCAAGGAGGAAGAGCCAGCAATCCATAGAAGCTATGTCCTCTTAATTTTGCCTTATGTCCCTTCCATTATACATAGAACATGCTAGTGTTTGCCACTCATGTCCAGGCCCACTGTCCTAACTCAGTCTTATAACAGAGGACTGTGGTTCATGGTAAAAGAAGTGGTCTAGATGTCAAGCAATTAAACCCCTCTACCACTAACGGGCCTTGGGCTCTCAAGCACCTCCTGGACACCTTTAATTCCCATAGTTATAAAACAGTCTGCCCTGGTTGGCCCAAAGTTCACACACTGCTCTAAACAAAGGAAGAAGCTGCTGTCCCCTCCCCCACATTTATACCTACCTTGTACCTAAGGCTGCTTGTGATTTTTTTTTTAAATCATCTTCCAGGGAACACCCCCACACACACGCAAACACCTAAAAACCAAGCAAAACAGGAAGAACAGCAGTAAAAGCTTAGGGTGAGAGGCAGGAGGGGGTGGGCACACAGGAGAGAGGTTGGTGATGGCTGGAGATTGACAGGGGCCAGGAAGGTGTTCTAAGAGAGCTGGGGTGAGGGAGAGGCCAGGTGCTTCTGGTGTTACCTGGCAAGAGTAGCTAACCCAGGACCACTGAATGATTGTCAGAAATAACTGACAGCTGCTGCTTATCCACAACGCTCAATTTCCAGGACATAGCCGCCATCAACCATTTTGCTTAAATCTTTTGAGGAGATAAATGGTCTCTAATTTGTTTTTGGCATGAACATGCTGTTCCAATCGGAAAGTTTCTGTTGTAAGAAGATGAAGATAGAGGAGAAACCGAGAGCTCTTCACGTGGGCAGCTCTGGCCACTGGTGTAGCAGGGGAGGACTCGACCCTACAGGATGACCTCTGTAGTTCTGGAAGGATAGACCTGGCAGGGCCAGGATTGAGAGAAGCCAAACGTTATCACCAAAAACTGTGAACTTTGGAGTCTGCTTGATTCCCATCTTGCCACTCATTAGCTGTGCGACTAAAGAAATCACCTTGGGTCCCGATTTTCTTGAACAGCAGCATGCATCTCTGAAAAGATGTTAAAGAAGGAAATGAGAAAAGCTGGGGAGATCAAGGAGAATCCTCTGCAGCACATTAGTACTGGGATCCTGCCCTCAGGAAGCTTCCACAGCAACCTTCCTCATGGGCAGAGGGTTTGGAGACCAAGCCATGACCTGAATACCGAGGGGTTAAGTTCCTGGTTTCTGTCCACACGACTAATGAGAAATTAGAAATAATCAAAACAGTGATACATGGGCCTAGTCATGACCAACTAACGGACAGATCATACAAAATCTCAACCACAGCTTTTCTCTACCATCAGGGACAGGAGCCTAAGCCGAGAGGGGGGTGGGGAAGAGTGAGGGTCTCAAGGGCACAGGAAGCCCTTCCTGCCTGACTTTTGGGCAGGCAATTCGTCCGTTCTTGTGCCTGTAATCATGGAGGGCTTTCTGGAGGAGGTTCAGAGAGGGAGTGGAGCTCCTGTTTTCATCACCCTTGTACGGCTCAAAAGGGCAAAGTCGAACCCCGAATCCACCCTGAGGCGAGAGGAGCATTGACCTCAAAAACCTTTCCTAACCTAAGACCCGGTTCCTTTAAGGCAGCGAAACCTACTGAATATTGTCTCCACCGCCTCCCGCGGGCGCGTTGACGTCACCCTTCGGGGAAGCGGGTGACGTCAGCGCGTCCTCTGCGAGGGGGCGTGGCCGTGACTCAGTCCGCTGGGCGCGCACGTGAGCGTCCGCCACGCCGCTTTCTAATTTTAGGCGGGCCGTCCGCGCGGGTCGCGCGAGGTGAGGCGGGCAGGGTCGCCGGGGGGCAGGGTCCCCGAGAAGAGGGGGGGGTCCCCGCCGGGCCGCCGTGAGTGAGTGGGACAGTGCGGCTCTCCGGCGCGGGAGCCGGGTCGGGCCTGAGGCCCGGGGTGGTCGCCGGGCTGTGCGCGGAGCCTCCGTGCGCTCTGCCGGGGATGGGGGGGGGGGGGGCGGGCAGAGCTCTGGAAAGTTCTCCGGGGGCGGGGGGCCGGCCCCGCCTGTGCTGAGGTTACCGGGATCGGAGGTGAGGGAGCAGCCACGTGGAGGCGGGTGGCGGGCCGCGCCGGCGGGGCCGGCGGACAATGGAGGAGAGGCGGGCCCGCTCCGTTTGCGATGGGAGGGGGGAGCAGGAGCGCAGATGGCTTTTGGGGGACGCAGAGGGGTCACACTGAGGTTGGCCCGGGTGGGGGTCGCGGGTCCGGCGCCGGCCCTTCCCTCGCCGACCTGCCCTGGTGGGGGAGGAGGGGGGGGGCCAGACCGGTCCCCTCAGCTCGGTTCCAGATTCAAACGGGCTTAGGCACGTGGCCGAGGGGCCTGGGAGGGGGCTCAGGGTGCCCCATCCGGGCGAGCTGCGCCCAGGTGGGTGTGTGGGGGCGCCCCCGACTCCCGGCCTTCGCGCCCCACTTGGGCACTTGGGGGGAAGGTCTGTGTTCGGCCCCTCCTGGGGCGCGCGCCCAGCCAGGGGCCCCCCACGGATGCCCTCAAGACCCAGGACAGAGCCAGGCGAGGACTAGGGTGACCTTCCAGGAACCAGATAAAAGCTAAGGTTCTGGAGAACCGGGAGTGCCAGACCATCTGGTGAAATCGACACTCGAGCTCTTTTGGGGGGGGGGGAGGAAAAGTTCTAGAAAGAAGCCTGGTCAGCGAAAAGTGAACTACACTTTTGACTTCGCAGAGTGGTGTGTGCCGTGTCACAGTGACCTGCATTCTGTGGGTGTAGGTAGTAGCATCCTCAGGTTTCGCAAGGATTGTCTCCAGCTTGCTTATACAACGGTGTGCAAAGCCTTTGATCTTATAAGGTATTGTTGGAAAGTCCCAGAAATACTACATGGTAGTATGGAAATATTGTTTTGGTAGTTTGGTCATTAAAACTTAATTCTAATCCCTTCCCCTCTTTTTTTTTTTCCTAAAGGAATAGGAAAGTGTGAAAATCGTCTTGAAGATATATGAATGGAAAATGTAAGTGTCATTTTTTAAAATTAGCTTTACCAAAAAATACCACATTGGCCTTTGTAAATCCAAAATCTTCACATACAAACATGGAATCTGCAAGCTATTTTTATTATTTTTTAAACAAATTAAAAAACCCGTTTCCATTTCCTGGAGAGTTTATTTCGATTTTTTTTTTTATCATTAGATGCACATAGGAAACCTGCAAGCTTTTTAAGGGTTATTTTCACTGTCTAGAACAGCCTCAAGATTAAAATGCAATATTGTTTGTTTTTTTTTTTAATTTTTTTTTGGGTCCAGTTGTGGGGCCTGAACTCTGGGCCTGGGCGCTGTCCCTCAGCTCTTCAGCTCAAGGCTAGCGCTCTACCACTTGAGCCACAGCGCCACTTCCAGCTTTTTTCTTTTTGCTTATGTGGTGCTGAGGAATCGAACCCAGGGCCTCATGCATGCAAGGCAAGCGCTCTACCACTGAGCCACCTTCCCAGCCCCATAAAATACAATATTATTTTATGTAACAAATACATTCAGGAGTATGCATACTATTCTGTGTTCATATAACAATAAATGGGTCTTGGTCCTAATTTATTGCAATTGTAACCTCTGCCTATTTTGAAAGGGTCCTAAGTTGAACAGAGGTGATGATGAATAACGTTCTCAAATTTAGCTAATTTCTATTTCTGTGGATTAGTATTGTGTGAATATATAATATGCAAAAACCTTAAAAGTATTCATGTTCAGAAATTAAGATTCATATTCCCCAACTGGCAATTTTTCTCTAAAAATATCTTTGAATCATTACCTGTATCCTACTGGTAGCCTATTAGCATTTCTGCAAAGCCTTTCCCTCCCACCAGGTGTTACCTGCTCTTTTTGAACATCTGTTACAGGTTACTCTTGGGAGTGCTAGCACAGCTTTGTTTTTGTATATCTCACATCTAGAATAGCTCTGGCATGTATTAAGAGCTTTTAATTTGGACAGTGTTTTGTTCCCATGAATAAAAGTGGATTCCTGAAGCCAGATTAAACATTTGAAGTGGAAAGGATGAGTTTAATAGTTGAAGTCTTGTGCTATTGACCTTTATTGCTGGTCTAGGGGCAAAAGTTCTTTTTTTTTCCCACACCTTCCCAGCATTTCCAACATGCCCATCAGTGAAGAGGGAAGAGGAAAATCTAAAGAGAATAGTGTAATTTTAGATTCAAGATAATGGAATTTTGTTTAGCACTCTGGGCCTACATTGAAGCTTTTGGATAACCACTTCCTTGGAAGTAAAACAAAGTAATTATCCTCTTTCTTGGAAGTTAAAGAGGGGGATCTTTTCAGCTTTAGCCAGAAATCTAAGGGGACTGGAATTTTATGAAATTTAAGAAAACTCAGTTTTTATAGAAAGCTAATGACAGCAAAATGTTTCTATCTGGATTGAATTTTGAAAATAAATAGTATGTTACAGTGAATGTATTTTCTGGCATTACTTAATGCCTCTGCAAAATTATAAATCAGGAAACTTCTATTTTTGATCCACTCTTAATTATGTCAAGAAAGTAGTGATGGGGCTGGGAAGGTGGCTCAGTGGTAGAGCTCTTGGCCTTGCATGCCTGAGGCCCTGGGTTCGACTCCCTCAGCACCACATAAGCAAAAAGAAAAAAGCTGGAAGTGGCTCTGTGGCTCAAGTGGTAGAGCACTTGTCTTGAGCTGAAGTCCAGAGTTCAGGCCCCATGACCGGACCCCCCCCCAAAAAAAAAAAAAGAAAAAAGAAAGAAAGTAGTGATGTGTGTTTGGAAGATCTTTAATAGATTTTTGGTTTGGTTTGGTTTTTTGCCACCTTATTCATCTCCCCATTCACAATACAGACCAGGCACAGCTTGGGCTGAGGTATATATGGAGTGGGTTTAGTCTGCCTCCTCTTTATATAGTCAGTGTAAGAACATAGCCTGTGGAAGCAACAGGAGGACAGGTCTTTCATATTCTCCCTAGAAACAGAACCAGTAAAATAGGTATATTGTAGGGGGATTTGTTCTTTGTTTTGTTTTGTTCTTTTTAAGCAGTCCTGGGGCTTGAACTCAAGGCCCAGGCATTGTCGATGAGCTTCTTTTACTCAAGGCTAGCACTCTACACTTGAGCCACAGCACCTCTTCTGCCTTTTTCTGTTTATGTGATACTGAGGAATCAAACCTAGGGCTTCATGCATGCTAGGCAAGCACTTGACCATTAAGCCACATTCCCAGCCCTATATGATGTTTTAATAAGGAACTGACATGCATTTTTGGAGGCTAGCACGTTGAGTTGTCAAATTGGAAACTTACATAGTGCTCGTGGTATAGTTGTGTTCTGAGTTGAAACATGAGAAAAGGCTAGTCTCAGTTCAAAGTCATGCAAGGGAGAATTTCACCATGAGGATGGTTGATCTTTTTGTTTTATCCAAAATCACCATCACGGAAATTAATGATATGTTTGGGGATGATTTTTTCATAAATTTGGTACATGAAAGTAAATGGAGGTTTGACCCACATGGTAAAGTGCCCACTAGTCTTGAGTGAACAAGCTAAAAGAGAGATAGCTCTAGCAAGAGGCCCAGCATTCAAGCCCTTCACACACAAAAAAAACCGATTTCCAGTTCCCTCTTACTCCTTAGGGTAGAGAAAGATTTAATTACATGACACAAGGCAGCCATTAGACCATTTCAGCTGGTCTTTGCCATCTTAGAATTGTATCATCCCTCTCTGATTTTAGGATTCACAATGTAATTTCCCCACCTTTCTAGTCTTGAACTCTGATCTTGGGCTTGTTCTGCTTGCTTTGCTTGTGGATACCTCCCTACTCACTTAAGCCATGCCTCTTGCCTGGCTTTTTGCTGGTGAATTATTTTCTCTTGAGCATCAGCTTCCATATTCATAATATAAAATGAAACAATGTATTCATGTAGAGAACTGCTGTAAGGAAGAATTTGAGATTAAAATAATCGACAGTTTCTTGCTTGTAACAAGTGCTTTTGGTGTTAAATTAGGATTAATTGCTTACCACTTGTTTTACAGAACTGGAGCTTTACAAAGAGATGTAGTACCCACCTTAAAAAAAGGTTTTTGGTTTTCTTTTTGCCCAAAGCCCAATCAAAAAAAAATCTGTATAATGCCTTTTATAGGATGAATTTTGTATGATTTGAAAGAGCAACAGGAACATTTATTTGGTATACTATGGAAGCACAGTGGGTTATATTCCTACCAGCAGATTTGATCTCTGTTTATATCCAGACACTTTCATTGCTATTCTTCCTGATTTAGAGTTGAAAGCACAGACTTCCTCTAAAGCCAGACCTTTCACTTTCTCACAGAATGGGATCCACACTAGCTTATTTCACATCACTGTATTTTAAGTTTTACCCAACTTCTGATGGTCTGACTTAAAATGATGTGAAAGTGTTAAGAGTTCAGTATGCTCACCTACAAGACAGCAGATACAGCTTTGACCTGTAACATGACAGCTGGCAAGCTGTGTGTTCCATGAAGTTATCCATCAGCAAACCACATCATTAGTACCAAGGACCATGGGTCTATCCAGATGAATGTGGCTGAGGTCAACAAGATCCCAGGCAGGTTCAGTGGCCAATTTAAAACATATGCTATCTGAGATGCTATTCGCAGGTTGGTGAGTCAGATGACTCCATTCTCCAGATGACTCCATTTTCTAATTGGCCAAGGCTGATGGCACTGTCTGAACTTCTGACCATTGGATATGGGGGTATAGAATATTTGTCATAAGTAAACAAAAGCAAAAAACTTTGGAAATTACTGTATTTAGATGTTTTTTGTTTGTGCTGGTATTGAGGCTTGAACTCAGGGCCTGGGCGCTGTCCCTTAAGTTTTTGCTAAAGATTAGCACTCTACTACATGAGTCACAGCCTCACTTGGAGCTTTTAGGTGTTACTTGGAGATAAGAGTCTCTTAGACTTTTCTACTGGGAGAGAAAATCTGGCTTTAAACTTGACTGAGTAGTTAGGGTTTGAGGCATGAAGGAAGCACTGGCACCTGGCTGTATTTAGATTTTTTGTTTTTATTTTTATTTTTTCTTGTCAGTTGTGGAGCTTGAACTCATGGTCTGGACACTGTCTCTGATCTCTTTTGCTCAAAGCTAGTTGTCTATCACTTTGGACCAAAGTTCCACTTCTGGTTTTCTGGTGGTTACAGAATCTCACAGGCTTTCCAGCTTGGACTGGCTTTGAACCACTATCTTCAGATCTCAACCTCCTGAGTAGCTAGGATTACAAGCATGTGCCACTGGCATGTGGCTTGTACTTAGAATTTTGATCTAATGGTATGCTACCCAGACAAGACTTACAATATTTAGTGACAGGAAAGAGTCAAAGCTTCTTGTGAAATGTGTGCTCATATGGATAGTCAACACTTGATAGTATACTGTGTTGGTATGATGTTTGGTAGATAAGGTATATTAAACTTTTTTTTTGGCAGTACTGTGGTTTGAATTTGCAACCTCTGAGTAACACCTCCAACTCTAAAACACGTTTTTTGATTTGACAAAACTTTCTACTTAAATTCACCAGATATAACACTGTTACAAGTCAAGAAGTATTTGTATTTTAAATACCTTCTGAAAGTTCTCCCCAGGCTTTAGATCTTCCCTACTCACAAATGTTCTCCTGTCTCAGTATCTCTCTTTTTTTTTTTTTTTGGCTGGTCATGGGGCTTGAACTCTGGGCCTGGGCACTGTCCCTCAGCTCTTCAGTTCACGGTGAACACTCTACCACTTGAACCACTGAGCCACTTTGGTTTTCTGGTGGTCTATTGGAGATAAGAGTCTCACAGACTTTTCTGCCTGGGCTGTCTTTGAACCGTGATCCTCAGATCTCAGCCTCCTGAGTAGCTAGGATTACAGGTGTGAGCCACCAGCGCCCAGCTCAGTATCACTTTACAGTTAAACTTCCCAGGAGTTTTGAGTGCCTTCTTCATCACCTTATGCACTTATTTCCTCAGACCACTCCAAATGACCTTTGTCCCCA